ATTTGTTTCCGAGGGCGAGACGTTTTCTTATTGCCGGCAACAAAAATTGTTTGGTGGGTGGGTTGGTGTAAGACGGACGCAAATGTGTGCGTGCACTTGAGGCCGATGGCTTTCACCTTTGTTTTGAATTTATTAGTTCTTAAATAAATTTAGAAATATATATAGTGCTTGATATTTATCGACCTTTTATATGTTAAACTATCAGTGATAATTGCAAAGTCCAATTCTATACAGTTGCGTAGTAACGTAGACTACATGATGCCCATTTACACGTATGAGCGTCCATGTGCAGTACGCTTGTGTGCGTTCATAAAATCTTGATGAAAGTATATAAAGACCGTCATTTCACCAACAGATTCGGCTTCGTGTTGTGTTGCGCGAAGCCTTTTCTGGTGCATATGGAGTCCATGTGGGTTGCTAGAAGAACGGAAAAGCCATGCGCTAGGACAATATGCATTCAAACCGATAAGCACTACCCCCACAGGGGGCAAAGGATACTTTTAAAATTCTTTGCTTTGTCACAGCAGGGCCGTATCTATAGTGCAAGACGGCAATTGGCTACGTGTTAGCGACCATTTGGCGTTTATGGGAGCGTGAGCAGGATAGATAGTTTATTGAGAAGGTGGAAACTGTCAAAACAGGCAATTTTTGCGACAGTAGTGGGAATTTCTTGACACGACTTTCGACGAATCATTCGAAAAGTGCGATTTTATGTGAACAGACGTTGGGAATATTTTGTGGGTTGATGTTGAGTTTATAATTAAAAATAAGTAATTCACTCAGTTAGAAGCAGTTGTACACCACTCCCGATTCGGCTATAATTATACGTACTACAAAAATAGTGAAATCGATTCCGCATATTGAATGTTTTTTTTTTTTTTGATCTTGTAACTTGTGCTCTCGTGACGTTCCGGTCGTAACCCCACCACAACCATCGTACATTTGTACGCACAAATCTGCCGTGCCAAGTAGCTCGCGAAACGTATTTGGTGGCTACGGTCGACGCCACTATCTGCACACTTGTACTTGCTACTTATCAAGTGGTTTGTCTTTTCAGCTGAAGCACCACTTTTATTGTTTTATTTCAACTTTGGGCTAGTCTTATTTTGTTAGTAAAGTCAGACAACAGCCTCAAACTGGCGGAGAGGAAGGTGGCACTGACACTGTGCCAGACGTCTGTGGTAAGTTTGCTTAATTTTGGGTTAACATCTACTGTTGCTTTTAAATACCGTGATGTTGTGATTGGGTCACTGCTGTTCAGCTTATACATAAGTAGATACATGTGTGCAGGGAAATTGCAGTGTGAGTTTATGCAGGCATTCTTCTCTTAAATAACAATAACCAATCTTTAAGTGATTCTCCAAATATTTTTAAATTGATTGTCAAGGGATTGTTATGTTAAATTATTGGTAATTCTCTAGGGTGCGGTAACTACCCCTAAAAAAGGTGCGGAAAAGTCGGGAGGGGTATCAAACGACGCGTTTCGGCCCCCCTATTAACAATCCGGAGGGGGCGAGATAATATTATTAACCATTTAAAAGTTATGAACAAAAAACTTTTGTTAAATTTCGTTGTTTTCGATGGGCAATTACACCGACAAAGATTCACTAAATCACCTGTTCACACTTTTTAAACACTATTAAAATATATAATTTAACTTATTTATTAAAGAAACACATAGTTTTATCAACCTTAGATAGATTATTTTGTTATTAAAAAGAAGTTGACAATCTTTGCGAGCTGAAACGCGAGATTGCAAAATAGCTATAGTGCTGCCACTGTATTAGTATTTCGTAATAATTCACTTTTCCTTATGAGATGTGTGCACTGTTCAATGCTTTTCGGTATCTTCTTTCGTTTAATATATATATAAATAATGAAAATTTTTAATAAAAAATCGCGCGATTTTTTATTAAAAATTTTCGCCTGCGGCGCTTTTTCCATAGAAATCAATACTTCGATAAATAATTAAAATTTTTAATAAAAAATCGCGCGACTTTTTATTAAAAATTTTCGCCTGCGGCGCTTTTTCTATAAAAATTAATACTTCGATAAATAATGAAAATTTTTAATAAAAAATCGCGCGAGGGTATAGCGAAATTTGCTATTATATTTTGGTTACAATATCTTATTTAGATGAAAGTAAAAAGAAGAAGAAGAAGTGTATAGTGTAAACTGAGTATAATAGCGCAAATGAAATGTGAAATAAAGTGGCAATACCAGCGATTTGAGGTTATAATAATTTCAGCAGGCGCAAAGTTTGTTTACTCTGTTTTATTAACGAAATATATAAAATAAAAGTGAATAAATGATTTGGTTTGTATAAAATAATACGCGGAAACGTTTTAGTAGTGTGTTAAAAGTGGAAACTGGTGATTTAGTGCATTTTTGACGTGGTAATTGCTCATAGAAAACAACGAAATTTAACAAAAGTTTTTTGTTCATAACTTTTAAATGGTTAATAATATTACCTCCCCCCCTCCGGATTGTTATTAGGGGGGCTGAAACGCGTCGTTTGGTACCCCTCCCGACATTTCGGCCCCTTTTTTAGGGGTAGTTACCCCCCCCTAGAGAATTACCAAATTATTTACTTTCTGCGAAAAGTAAAGGATATTTGTTGCAGGTACGTTTTTTAAGGCACCACTTAGGCAGTTGAGTCCATATGCTGCAAAAGACTGTTGAGCACAACCTCTTCGTCACCTCTCTGCATACCTTTATAGGACGATTTAATAACGGTAATTCTCTAGGGTGGGGTAACAACCCCTAAAAAAGGTGCGGAAAAGTCGGGAGGGGTACCAAACGACGCGTTTCGGCCCCCCTAATAACAATCCGGAGGGGGTGTAATATTATTAACCATTTAAAAGTTATGAACAAAAAACTTTTGTTAATTTTCGTTATTTTCTATGAGCAATTACCACGTCAAAAATGCACTAAATCACCAGTTTCCACTTTTAAAACACTACTAAAACGTTTCCGGTTATTATGTTATGCAAACCAAATCATTTATTCACTTTTATTTTATATATTTCGTTAATAAAACAGAGTAAACAAAAAGCGCGCTGAATCGATTCTTGATTTGGGTATCGACTTCCATGTTTTCATTTTCGAACGTCTGCAACAATTTTTATTGGTGCAAGAAATGCTTTTTGTTCACACAAACTTTAAAATAAAACAGTTCGACGGCTGAGTGAAAGATTGTCCTAAATATCTCGGCAGCTGGCTAGAAAGCAGCCTTTCTCATAATTTGGTGGAAAAACGCTCTACCACTGAATTTGCATCAAGAATGCCCTATCTCAACTGAAAATATGTATGTTGATATAGGGAATTTTTGAGGTAGCAGCGGAGATAGGTCATTTTTGAACCGAACTCTGAAATTCGGGGGTTTTCAAGGAAATTGTGAAATAGGCCGTTCTTGATACCTGGATCGGAATCTGCAATAAAATTTTAATTCTTTCAAAAACTCGATGTTTAACACCTTACTAAATATATCTCAACATAAGTTTTGGAATACAAATTACAAAAAATTGTTGATTCTCACAAAATGCACCATCTCGTCATAAAGAAAATCATTTTAAAAATAGTGCTTGAAAAACCCCCATTTTTTTAACCACGTTTTACTGGTCTTTCCTATGCAAATCAACGTCAAAAAGCTGAACTGTTAATAGCTAAGTTAGCTTTAGGACAATCTTGCCCATGTTATATATAAAAATATTAATCCGAATTCTGTAGCTTTAAAACGACGTTAAGATGAAGACTCTACGATGACCAGAACCCGATATACATATAACGATTTGAAAGAGTACATGATTAGTCAGAATCACGAAAAAATTCATACTTTGACAGATCATATCTCCAAAGAAAAAAGCGAAAAAAAATTCCTTGATCACGTGTTAGCTTATTTCATGTATAGAACCCAAAAAAAATTTGAAACCAATCGAAAGTGTGACACCAAATTTGGTGTCCGATATGAAAAAGAATGTCTCATATGTATACATACATCTGCTTTTGCGTAAGGTTATATTTTTTGTATTTTTTCTATCTAGATCGCTAACAAAATCGATAGTAACATCCAACAAAATAACGATTATAAATTCGATAAAAATTTTCGATAGCAAAATCGATTAGAAAATCGATAAAAATATTTAACAAAATCGAAAATAATATCAATAACACAATCGATAAATAATCGTTAACAAAGTCAATAAAAAATATAGATATCAAAATCGATAAAAAAAATTGATAACAGAGTTCCAGATTGAGTCTCTGTGTCTCTATCTACATCCTTTTCTCTATAATTACCTTTATTTTAATCTTTCTTCGTCTATCTTCGTCTTTACTTTTAGCGGTATCCTCATCCTCATTGTCATCTTTTTCTTTATATTTGTCTTTGTTTTTACCTTTATATTTACCATTTTCTTCATTTACATACATATTCCCCTTTTCCCTATCCTCCCCTCCCCTTTGCCCTATCTCAAAAAAAGTTTCAATAATGCCCTATTTCGGAATTTGGTTGAAGAACGCCCTATTTCAGAATTTGTTTCACAAACGCGCTATCTCAGCTGCCGATTCAAAACGCACTCAGCAGTCGATATACTGTCCAACAATCTTTTCTATAGCAAGCGACACACAAATCGATAAGTTTCAAAATACGATACGATACGACACACCCAGGCAGGAAATGATCGCAGAATTGAACTGGCTAAGCGTGAAACAGAAAATTTTTTATCACGCTATGAAATTCGTGTTTAACATAAAACAAGGTAGACCTCCAAAATATCTGAGTGATATCCTACGATATAGTAGTGAAACCCATTCATATTTACTCAGGGAAAATAGTAGCTTCAGGCTGCCGCGGTATAAAACGGAAATAGATAAGAAGAATACCTTTTATAAGGGATTAAAATGTTGCAATGAATTTCCAGCTCAAATCAAAAATTGAGAAAACGTTGGTACATTCAAAAGGCAGCTGCACATTGGCTATTAGATAGAAAGGTCCGGCATGGAAACTAGTCCCTTCCATCCGTACTAACAGGGTGACTCTGGATCCCGTTCATTCAGATTGCCAAAAATGTATGAAATAGAAAGGTCGGCATGGAAACTAGTCCTTTCCCTCCGATCAAATTGCGTGACTCTGGATCTCGTCCATTCAGATAGACCGCCCGTAGAGAAGTGTATAAGAGGCGGCTTGGAAACTAGTCTTTTCAACCGCCCAGTTGTGGCGGCTCTAGAAATAACAGTCTAGATCGCATGTCCTACACGTGATATATTTACGGTACTGCTTGGAATCACGTCCATTCCAACAGCATCGAGAATATGATATCTTAGTTAATTATACATAAACTATGTATTTTATGGCTTAGAAGGAAAATTGTAACAGATCAACTTATATTAAGCTTTAATTTTACTTTTATTAATTATTGATTTTGCAATACATATTACAAATGTACATATATAGGTCAAATGACTGTAATAAATATATAAATAAAATAAATAATTACCTAAGGAGTTGTCCAATGGGAATTATTGCCATTTGTTTTTGAAGTCCTTATACATAAATACATGTGCATGTATGTACACATGTGCGTACATAATTACATAACTTGTTGGCCTAAATTTTTTGATTAACTGAAATTACTATCCATATTCAATTGCTTTAATGTTTATTTATTTATTTATTACAGCCATCTGACCTACATACATAATATATACTCTTATATACATATGTATGTACACTAGGGTGATTCAGAAAAAAAATTTCTTTCCTCGGAACTATGCTCAAAAGTTTCTTAATATTAATATTAACAATGTCCGAATCGCACTTTTAGATTTCCCATAAGAATAACACAGGAAAAATTCGTTTTTACTTTTCTGATTTTTATATCTAAAGCACGATACGTTGTACTGTAAAGGTCTTGAAGTTTAGTTGTAGAGAATTGAACGCTTTACGAAAAAGGTCTAAAGTCATTTTTGGATAAGTCAACTCGGTCAAAAGTTATTAGAGGTCAAAGACGGTTTTAGGCGATATTTGAGGTTAGTTTGCGATTTGACCTTTTTTCTCGTGATATACCAGTTTTAATGTGCAGTACTTCTGTATTACTTCGTAGCTATGAAATCGAAAAGTGCGAAGCGGAAATTCTTAATATTAATATCATATTTCTGAGACTTATTTTGGCGTCTAATC